TGCCAGCCACCAAGATGCTCGTGCTGAGCATCGTCTGACCAACTGGCATGGCCCTCCTGGTCCTGCCTCCTCCTCCTCATCACCCTCATCATGCTCATCAGTAGGACCCCACGCGTTTTCACGCTGGGGCGTTAGAACCCCACGTGTTTGAACGCTTGTCCCGCTCTGAAGCGTTCGCTTGGGCAGAAGAACACGCGTAAAACGTAAAGGGTTCGATCCCCAGGAGAGGAGCAATCTATAGGGCAAAACAAAAGTTTCGCTCGAGACATCCTCAACGATTTCTGCAAAACAAGCATGTCGTTCGAGGCATCCGCAACAAATGACAATGTTTACGGTACCATGTGTTTATCGATCGGAATTCCAAAACCCAGCGTTTCGCTCGGCATATGTTCAAACTCTGAACACATCCAAACAAGAAAGGGAAGCGCCGCTTCTCTGAGTTTGCGTGCGCCTCCGCACGGATTTACACGCATTGCGACATGGGTACACATGGGGCACCAACATTGCACAGCTACCTGCAGCTACACCATACCATGGTAGCAAATTCACTCAGCAGCAAACGTGTCCAGACATAAATTGCCACGGGCAGCGAACGACTCATATTCCAACAGCGACCAGATACTACACAACACAATGGTAGCAAACGCAGTCAACCGCAAAGGTACCCACATTTCAATGAAGGGCCGCAGCAAACATAGCCACATGTCAAAAGCTACCAGCAGCTGCACAGAGCCATAGTAGCAAACGCACTCAGCAGCAAACGAATCCACATTTGAACATGAAGCCGCAGCTCACGTACTGATAATTCGATTGCCTCTTCCTCCTTCTCCTCCTCCTCCTCATCCTCCTCCTCCTCCTCTGCCTCCGCCTCCGCCTCCGCCTCCTCCTTCTCCTCCTCATCCTTCCCCGTCTCCTCCTCCTTCACTGTCTCATCCTCCTCCTTCTCCTCCTCCTCCTGCTTCTCCTCCTCCTCCTCCTGCTTCTCCTTCTCGTCCATTTCCGTCTCCTCCTCCATTTGCTCCTTCGTGTCCTCCTCCGTATCCTCCTCCACTTGCTCCTCCGCCGTTTCCTCCTCCTCCTCCTCTTCCACCTCCGCCTCCGCCTCCGCCTCCGCCTCTGCCTCCGCCTCCGCCTCCTCTTCCTCTCCTCCTCCTCCTCCTCCTCCTCTCGTCCTCCTCCTCCTTTTCCTCCTTCTTTTTCCTCCTCCTCCTCCTACCTCCTCCTCCTCCTCCCTCCTCTCTCCTCCTCCTCCTCCTCCTCCGCCTCCTCCTCCTCCTCCTCTCCTCCTCCTCCTCCTCCTCCTCCTCCTCCTCCCTCCCTCTCCTCTCCTCCTCCTCCTCCTCCTCCTCCCCTTCTCCTCCTACTCCTCCTCCTCCTCCTCCTCCATTCCTTCTCCTTATAAATTCGCCGGCCCAACGGGCCAGAGGCGTGCTAAGTTCTCCGGTAACTGCTAAATAATACTTCTACTTCGCGCGCGCGGGGCGGCCCCTGGGGGTCCCCGGACGAAAAGTACCCCGGGCGATCCCCGGCAGACTCGGGTCAGAGATGGTTTTCCTCCTGGGCGCCGCCCCCGTGGCCCTCCAGAGTCCAGAGAGCCCCAAGGAGGGCCACGAGGCCGCCAAGAGCCGTCCAAGATGGTTCAGGAGTGCTCCGAGATGCCACACGATCGTTCCAAGACGCCCAAGATGGCCCCCAGACGCCCCAAGAGGCCTCCAAGAGCACTCCCCAGAGGGCCCCAAGAGGCAAAATTAATGACTTTTCCTTAGGTTTTGGGCAGATTTTGGCGTATCCATCTTTTCGGCTTCCCGACGCCCAAAGACGGCCCAAGAGGCCCCCAAGATCGCCCCAAGAGGGCCCAAGAAGCTCCCAAGAAGGCCCCAAGATGGCCCAAGAGGGCTCCAAGACGGCCCCAGAGGCATCCAAGACGGCCCAAGAGGGGCCCAAGAGGGCCCCAAGCGATGCCCCAAAGGGGGAACACAAAACAAAACTTCGAGCCCTCGGCCTTAAGAAGCCCCCAGGAGGCCTCAAGAGGCCCCTGAGAGGCCCCAAAAGCCCCCAAGAGGCCCTCAGGAGGCCCCCAAGCGACGCTGAAGAGGCCCCCCAGCGGCCCCAAGAGGCTCAGTCATGCGAAATGGGCCGGCGGAATGAGCGAAGCGATTCAATAACTGTTCCCTGTCGCACCCCGAGGCCAGTTGTTATGGCGGGCCGGGCGTTTCGCCTGAGACTTCCTTACCATCTACGACTCTGAAGCCTAAGAATTGGCAATCGTTTCACAGATGGACGGCGGGTCGTTTTCAACATGTGGCTCTCGCCTCAGCGCGGCGCGCATTCGGTTTAAAAGTTTGCAAGGGCTCCACGGATTGAGGGCGGGTGGTTTTCAACATGTGGCTCTCGCCTCAGCGCGGCGCACATTCGTTTTAAAAGTGTGCAAGAGTTTCACGGATTGAGGGCGGGTGGTTTTCCACATGTGGCTCTCGCCTCAGCGCGGCGCACATTCGTTTTAACCATTTGTAGCTCCACGGATTGGGGGCGGGTGGTTTTCAACATGTGGCTCTCGCCTCAGCGCGGCGAACATTCTTTTGAGAAATGTGCAAGAGCTCCGCGGACTGAGGGCGAATCGTTTTCAGAATGTGGCTATCGCCCTAGCGCGGCACACACTCGCTGTAAACATTTGCAAGGGCTCCACGGATTGAGGGCGGCTCCTTTTCAAAATCTGGCTCTCGCCTTAGCGCGGCGCACATTCGTTGTAAAGTTCGCAAGGGTTTCATGGATTTGCACCATCCTCAACGTGCCAGAAATTGTGATTTGAACGCGTTCGGGATTAAGCGGGTGCAACAGTTATGTTGGTTCGCTGTGTTGAGGTCCCAGGAATAACGTTCTGGCACGATTCGGGATTGTCAAGACGCAGTAGTCAGGCTGATCCGTGGCATTGGAATCCAGAGAACAATGTGTTGGCATGCTTCATGGTCTTCAAACGGTTGTCTTCCAAAAATGGAGTTCCTTCAATGGAAGCGAGCCGTTGTAGGGGCCTATGAAACGGGAGCTTGGAGGGAGGGTGTATTCCAACATCGTTGATGATTATTTGGTTTACACTCCTCCTCCTCCTCCTCTCCTCCTCCTCCTCTCCTCCTCCTCCTCCTCCTCCTCCTCCTCCTCCTCCTCCTCCTCCTCCTCTCCTCCCCTCCCCCTCCCCCTCCCTCCCCCTCCCCCTCCTCCTCCCCTACTCCTCCTGCTCCTCCTCCTCCTCCTCCTCCTCCTCCTCCTCCTCCTCCTCCCCTCCTCCCCCTCCTCCTCCTCCTCCTCCTCCTCCTCTCCTCCTCCTCCTCATCCTCCTCCTCTCTGCCTCGCCTCCGCCTCCGCCTCCGCCTCCTCCGCCTCCGCCTCCCCCTCACCCCCCAGACCCCGCGGAATCAGAAAGGGGCCACGGCCCTTGCAAATTACACAGGATTCACGCTCCCGAGGCCACGATCCCTCGTCAATTATACTGTGCCCGCGCCCCCAGAACCAAGATCCCTCGTCAAGTACGCCGTGGCCGCCAACCCAGGGCCAGGATCCCTTTCAAATTACGCTGCGCCCGCGCTCCCAAAGCCACGATCCACCATAAACTACGCTGCATCTGCGCTCGCAGGGTAACGCTCCCCAAAAATGACTCTGCGTCCGCTCTCCCTGGGCCACGATCCTTCGTAAACCACGCTGCGTCCGCGCTCCCAGGGCCGCGCTCCCTCGTGAACTACGCTGTGTCCGCGCCCCCAGGGCCACGATCCCTTGTAAATTACACTGTGTCCACCTGGCTATCCTGGGGCGCACAGGCCACTCGACGTCTGCTCGAAACATCGTCGAGGTTTCGGCGCACAGGGCGCACCATCCTCGAGCGGTAGTTTCTGGCAACAAGGCCTCCAAACCTTGTGTTTTGTCACGAATTCTGCGCAAAACGCTCCGCACCCTGTTTTATTCCCCACATCCCGAGTGAGGTTCTTGTTTTCCTAGAACACCTAGAACACACACTATCCTTTTCCTTCTCCTTCTCCCGCCTCCCTACCATACCATACCATACGTACCATACCCTACAAGACCTACCGTACCACACTTATCAATACCATACCGTACCACACTTATCAATACCATACCAGTTTACCTACCATACAAAACCTACCTCATACCATACCTACCATACAATACCAATACCATACCTACCATACCATGCCAACCATAGCACACCATCTACCATAACATACCACACCAACAACACCAAAACTACCATACCATACCATACCGATCACTCCAGGGAAGCCTCGCCGGAGCGAGGACAGTATCGGGATACCATACCTTTTACAAGGTGTTCGTGCCCCCCCCACACCCCTGGAGGGCGGCCCCGCCTGAGCGAGGAGGGTATTCGAAAACCATGCTCTTTATCTGTTTTCGTGCCCCTCCCACTCCTCCAGGGAGGCCCACCTGAGCGAGGAGGGCATTCGAAAACCATTGCATGTATTAAGTTTCGTGCCACCCTCACTTCTCCAGAGAGGCCCCGCCTGAGCGAGGATGGTGTTCGAAAGACATGTTATTCATCAGGTTCGTGTCCCTGCCCACTCCTCCAGGGAGGCCCCGCCTGAGCGAGGAAGGTATTCGCAAGCCATGTTATGTATCGGGCTTCGTGCCCCTCCCACTCTTCCAGGGAGCCCCGCCTGAGCGAGGAGGGTATGCGAAACCCATACTGTCTCAAGGGTTTGCGCTCCTTTCCACCCTTCCAGGGAGGCCCCGACAGAGCCAGGAGGCTAACCCCCCCACCCTCCTTGCCTTACTTGCTCTACCGCATTCCCCTCCATCGCCTATTCTCATTTACCCTCTGCTCCTACCTCACCCCTTCCATTGTTCCCTTGTCATTCCTCCTCTTCTTCCGCTAGGAGAACGGGGCTATTTCGCAAGAGTCTCGTATGCCATTCGATAGCAACGCTCTCGTTGTCCCCCTCTATCCATCTTCCTACACCTTCTGTGCCCCACCT